TTTTAATGCACATTAAGTTCATGCCCCCTTCTGCCCAGGAGGATGAGGAGTGGAAAGAGTTTGAGCAGAAAGAAGTGGACTACAGTGGGCTCCGGCTCCAAGCTTTACAAATAAGGTGAGAGTAAATATTTGCTGTTATGACTCCTTGTCCATACAGATGTCTACATGGTCCACATTACTGAAGTTATTGAAGATAATTAAGATGCTCCAGACACTTAAAAATGCATGTAAACCTGGCCACAGTACTCTTCTACCTGCAGAATGAGAGACTCTGTTGCACATAGATATGTTATTACTATGTTGCTGCTTCTGATTGTGCACAGGTTGTGGGGGAAACTTATGGTGTTTAGGCAATACAAGTATCCTGGCTTCAGACCTCTGACCTGTTGCCTACATCATTATTTCAACAATTAAAATAGTGGAATGACTTTGCAATTCTATCTAAATTACTATGATACAGTCAGTTTGAGTTTAAACATGGGGCTCGTGGTACACTGAAAATGATCAATACAAAAATTCTACAGTTATTCCTTCTCAGGCATAGATATTTCATTTTCACTATTCTTAGTTTCAGTAATAATGTCTCAGATTTCAGTATAAAATTTAATGATAGTCTCTCTTAAATAAATTTATTGATGACCCTGTTTTACTGGCAGATCCTCATCTTCATAAAACCTAAACTGGGGTGTGGACTGACTAACAAACACCAAACGTTTTAGTTGGCTACAAAGCAAATGTGGTGAATGCTGCCATTCAGGTATATTTAAACAATGCAGTGTGATACACAGAGGTGGTATGAATACCTAAGTTATTGAAAGGACACAGGCAGAGACTGATTTGTTATATACACACTAAACTGAGGCAAAACGGCATCTTCTCAGGCTAAAGTGGTTTCATTTTCCTTGAACGTATAAAGATGAGAACAGACAGGAAGGGTCTGGAGGAAAATATTAGGAACAGCAGTGCAGCTCATCATGTGTTCACCTGTGACTGACTGTCCTCGGTTTGCTCACAGTGACGAGAAGGAGGAAGAGGAGTACGAGAAAGAAGAGGTCGGTGAGGATGGAGAAATCATTTTGGTCAGTGGAGACAAAGTGTCAGGGCCCTGGAACAAATCTGGCACCGCTCCTCCTGCTGCTGCTCCCATTGGTGAGTGAACCAACTTCAAGTCTCATTTCAGCTTTTCTCCGGGAAAGAGGTGCAGCAATTAACAAGGGCATGAAAAATGGAAAATGTTTCGAAAGGTCAGAATGGATGTAACACTTTATTATAAGTCTACTGTAAATGTGTATATGCTTCTTAGAGACTGTCCCCCTGTAACAGCATATTTGGTAGTGTGACTTACCTTGTTGTTAATTTTGGCAGGATTGTTGCAATTCCTCCTGCGGCCGTAGGAGTGCTATTTAATGATACGCCACTATGGGTTGTGTGAGAGGGAGGGAACAAAGGACCAAATGGGTCATGTAGTTTGGAGAACCTGTTGGCTTTTTACTGTGGTGATGTTATGGACACTGAGCTCATAGTTTTTATTACTCTTGTTAATTGTGTCCTGACAGGGCGCAGTTTTCTAATGCACAAATGAAGAGCCTTTGATTATTTTTATCATGAAACAATCATGCAACATAGCCTGAAGCACTTGTAAAGGTTTGTGGAGTATATGTTATTGTTTGATTGATAAAATACTACTGTAATCTGACCCTCAAAACATTGGTTTTCTTGTCTAACTCCTGTTGTCTCTGTGTTTTAGAGAGCGTAGAAGCTCCTGAGGTGAAATCTTCTGGTGTGTATCGCCCTCCTGGGGCTCGTCTCTCCACCAACAAACGAAGCCAGAACCAGGGCCCTCCTGAGATCTACAGTGATGCACAGTTCCCTTCTCTACTGGCCACCGCCAAGCATGTGGAGACACGCAGGTAAGTCAAGTTAGGGTGGTGTGTTTGGGGGTGTGAGGTGTTGGTGCAGTTTTGTAGCTCATCAGGGCTGCAGACAACCCTTATTTGGGTAGTTAATCTGTCTATTATACCAAACTATGTGATTGTTTAGTCTATAAAATGTCAATAAACATGCAGGTTGCAGTTTCCTAGAGCCCAAGGTGCGGTTTGCCTATTTCTTTATGTGTAATGCATCCAAATATATTCAGTTTACAATCAGCAGAATGTTTCGTTTGGGAAGGTGAAGCCAGGCAGTGTTTCTAGATAAATGGCTCAGAAGATTATTACTAAAGTGTCATGTCTATATTTTAGGGACAGAGAAATGGAGAAGACCTTTGAGGTTGTGAAACACAGGAACCGTGGTAGAGAGGAGACCAGTGGCGCTTCGATGCAGCATTTGCAGCTTGACAACCAGTACGCTATCCTGGGGGACAAGTAGACCCGCTCCCCTCCGTCCCCTGGCCCCTCCAGCTTTGTCCTGCCCAGCCCCTTTAAGGAAGCTGAACTCCAGCTGTGTGGACTGCAGTCCTGACAGAGCTCACGCTGCCACCATCATCACACTGCTCACTCACACGAGCACACAGCGTCTCACACACACACACTTATTTCACACATTCTACATACATTTGGTTGGCACAATGGAAAGACTGCGTCTGAAGGGGCTGTTGAAAGAGGGAGTAATTGAAAAAGAATTAGCAAACTACATGAAAATGTGCAACGGCAGCAGCAACAAAAGGCGACGTAGTTGTCCTTGGTGGATTGTACTCGGAGCAAAGATTGTGTGGCACAATGTCTCTCTGGACTTCAACTTGCTTTGATAAAGCCACAGCGGATCGAAGATGACTTCACATAAGATGATTTTACAAACTCCTGTGAAAATATCTATTTTTTTGCAAGTTCATTATAACCTAATCACACTTGGTTATGTTGGGGTGTGTTTAGAGTGGCGGTTGGTGTTTTAGGCCTAGGGATACTACCTCAGCAGTACAGCTGGTGGTGACGATTTCTTTTTTTGTTTTTGCTGTGGTGGAGAATGGGACAAATACCCACCCCTTCCACACTGGCCATCAGGCTCTATGATTTAAAGATGACAACATTTTTCATAGATCTATGGACAAGAAGCGATAGGTTGTGGTCCTCATTTAAAATTTCTATATAAAGTGGCCTTAACTGATGGAGAGAAACTGCTTGGACACAGAACTTTGCTTGTTGTCTCCCAGGCTGTTGCCTGCCCCAGGATCTCCCCACTTTGTGGGGGGAGGGAACTCCCCTCTGTTTAAGAATGTACTGTTGTAGTTTTCCTCATGATTTCATCTTCTAACTGTCTTTGATTTTACTGCCATTATTTTATTTTAGACATCAGTAAAAGAGTGATTAAAGCATGCATCCTGTCCAAAAATATTCTTTGGTAACAAAAGTTAGTGTCAGCAAAATTACAGTGCATATTTGTTGAGGTTGTTTGCTCATATTGTTGTCCAGTGGTACCTTTCAGCCCCAGTTCTTTATACCAGGACCTTGCTTTATTAATATTCAGTGGAACCACATAGGACAGGTGGATTGTGCATCATTTCATTTCCAGAGAGTTACAGCAACTACTTGTCTGTAAATATCGACTGTCACCAAACCAACAAGAGTACCATCCACTTAAAGGATAAGGCCGGTCATTTTTCATATTAATAGTATTTTCACCGGTCCCCATACTCAAACCAACAATGAATTGCCTCAGCTCATGGTTGATATATGTCAGTCTTCAACATCCATCCATTATCTATACCGCTTATCCTGAACATGGTCACGGTTGGGCTGGAGCCAATCCCAGCTGCCACTGGGTGAGTGGCAGGTTCCACCCTGGACAGGTCACAATCTATCATGGGGCTGAAATGTAGACAGACAACCACACACACTAAATCCTACGGGAAATTTAGAGTCACCAGGCAACCTAGGCTGCATGTCTGTGAACTGTAGGAGGAACCCGGAGAGAACCCACGGAGGTACAGAGAGAACATGCATACTCCACACAGAAAGGCCCCAGGTTGGCCAGGGCTCGAACCCAGAACCTTATTGCTGTGAGATGACAGTTCTGACCGCTGAAATAAGCAGGAGTCAACTGTGTAGGCGCAAGATCTCTATGTGTAGTAGCTGTGTGTGTGTGCGTGCATTATTTTTTTTTTTTTTTTTGTGTGTGAAAGAAATATTTAGGTCATAAGCTTTGTAAGAAGAGAAGCATGTCACCCAGTGCAGCCTGTGTTTCACTGTGTTTTATTCACTTTTCTACATCATTAGAGGTCTATGGCGCAGGACTGACACACTGTAGGACATTAAAAGCAGGGTTGGCGACCCCTTACAGAAGCATTTTTGTTACATTTCTTGAATTTTTCCATTTCATCCTGATGGCAGTGAATACATTAAATGCATTGATAGCATAAAGAAAAAACCCTGTCATCTGTGGCAGCATGGCTGATAAAAGCCTGACCAATAATTTTAATTGGGCTGAGAAAAACCATTGGATGGTCTTTCTGTCGACCTACTTCCTACTTGTGCACACTCTGCTGTGCAGTCAGTGTGTGAGCTGAGAGTCTCCCGCAAAGCCAGGCTGGCATGTTATATTTGTGGTGGACAGGTAATTATTGGTTTTGTTTTGTTTGGGAGGCATTTATTTTTTTCCTGAAATCTGTAAGTAGTCGGGCAGTGATCATTGTGTTTTGGAGGAGTGGCTTTGGAGAGAAGTCAGAACAAAAGGGTGGAATTTTTATGGTTGGCTTCTTTCAAAATAAAGCTTTCTCTTGCTGGTTTTTCCAGGACTGCCAATCCCACCTTTATTAGGGAATAGAGGCAATTCACTTTTGGTTTTAGTCTCTGTGTGGGGAATATGATTAAATTACTGGCTTTGTCCTTTAAAACCATTAGTATGCCCAGTTAAAATCAAATGGGCTTTTACTACAAGCATTATGTTTAGAAAGTTGAGGAAGAACTGGATTTTCTGTTTCTGTCCTTTCTATTAAAGGTGTCAGGTGGGTGTTGATCCCTGCTGGATGCTTTGAGTGGCTGTAGATAATATTTGTCATGAAAAGAGAAGAACCTAACACACAAATTAAAGTGATCCTTGTGACTTAAGTCTTGTCTAAATCTTTAAGGTTAAAAATGTGAATTTTTAGTGTCCTTTTCCAGAAAAAGTGATGGTGTCCATTTGTAAACTAAATACTTGTGTTATATCTCCCACAGTCACTTACTCCTGTCATTTTTTTAGGAAATGGACATTTTAAATGACCTTATAACAAACCTTGACAAATAAACTTCTTTCACACAACAGACTTGGAATATTTTTTTGAAAGAAGCAGAAACACCAGCAGGATCCTTAAATCTGTTGAGCCTCAGCCACCTACTTTTTCATTCTTCGTCATCTGAAAAGAGAAGACAGCCAAAATTTAAAGTACATAACGGCAACTTAAAATCAAAATATCTTGCTCAGGTTAAATGCTGTTTTACGTAAGGAAAACCGCAATTGTGAACATTGAATGGTTTCTTACCTTGATCACATTTCCACTAGCTGGCAAATCTGGAAAACCATAGCTACTTTGCATTGGATGCCATTCACCAAACTAAAGATAAAGAGATTATTCAAAAACTTACAATACTTTGATGCAAGTAAGGTGATAAATATGAAATGTATTCCCAAAAATTGACCTGAGAATATCAGTCCTAAGCAATGTAAGTTGTTTGAAAGGTAATGTATAATAAAAAAAAAAAGCGGATAATAAAAATGCAGCCTTACTAACTGAGAAACCCTTTTTAAACCTGTATATTTGAGACAGGCCTGTATATACACTACTTTATATTTATCTATTGTCTCGAGAACATAATGTGTATTTGGACTACAAATGAGGATTACTTTTGATGCTTGTTTTATCTATAAAACAAAAAAAAATCCTTTTACAATTTGAGACAATATCTTCAAAGTAAAGCATAAAATTGATATATTAAAAAAACTGGAAACAGCAAATGTTAAAGAATTCTTAACATTGACTAAAACAATTAGACCGATTCCATTATCAAAAAAGTTAATAGTTAAATTATGTGATTAAATTATTTGACTACATTATGGCTGGTGTCACTGGACCAGTTGAATGGAGTACCCCCGGCCAATCAGCAGTTGGCAGTAGTGAGCAAATAGCTGTTTACCGCACCGGAAAAAGGTGAAGAAAACATCAAAAATATATGACTAGAAACCACATAAAATTGAGTCTTGTACGTCATTAGAAGCGTTTTAGGACGTCGTGGTCTACTTTTACAAGACAAACGACTTTAACAGTGGCAACTAAGTGGTTGGTTTTGCATATGTGCGTGTGATTTGTTTACCCATCTCCGTGAAAACGTAGCTCGCAGCCGTTTCCTAACTGTTTCTGAGAGATGTGTCCGTGACTTCTGCGCAGACGGTGACTGTGAAAAACTGCACGGCTTACAGCCGCTCGGGTATGACACCTGTGGAACTACAACTAAGCGAGCAGTGGATTTGGAGGTTACTGGTATTTACATCAAACTTTTCCAGCCACTCTCCGACTACTCAATGTGCCACATCCACCACTCTCGCTACGCTAAGAAGGGCGTCGCTAGTGATAATCACGTGACTAGGTCGACTAACGTGTGCAACTCATTATAGGCACATTGAAGTATATGAGTCACAAAAAGAAAGTCAAAGAAAACTAAGGGATTTCAGGTGCTTATAAAAGTCCTCTGCTGATTTTAACTTTGACAGAGAATATAATGCAGACTTCATAAATCAAGCAAGTTTGAGGAATCTGTTAATCTACACACAGCTATCAGTTTTATAGGTCCACAGCAGTCCACCTAATCAGTGTTGATTCCGCTGTGGTGTTGTGCTGTTCTATTATACTGTGTTACTGTATGAAGTATTTGGTCAACCTCTATTCTGTACTGTAACAGGACAACAGGTTTTATGTGCAGTTCGCCACCTAAAAGTCTTTATGCTTTCCCTGTTTAAACATACTTAAAAACCTTAATATGGTTTGTTGCAGTGTTGCCAGCTGCCTGTCATTTCTCACTTGTTATATTACACATTTTGGAGCAAATGTTGTATCAGAATTAACCATTGCCTGGCCCTTCACCTTGTGCTGTATCAGCCTCCACTAATTACAGAATTGCCTCTGTGATCTCTGAAACCAGTTTTGTCTTAGAAGTGAATAAAACCACTTTATCTTGCTGCCACTATTTTCACATACCCAGTCTGTCTCCGTAGTTACACGTGGTATCTCCGTAGTTGGACGTGGCACTGAGTCTCCTTTAGACCACTGAAATTGAAATATATAGAGCTTGAATTAAAAAAAAACTATGACACAATCACAACAGTGTTTTTATAATAACCCTTTGCCTTTTTGTTTATTCAGTTTTTGCAAGGTCACAGACAGGTTTCAAAGAAAGCAGCAAAATAATCTATCAGTAAACCTGTTTCATAGAGCAGCAGCAGTGTGCTCCAGCTTATTCAGTGATTCTTCAAAGAAAAGAAAAATTAAAAAAATGTTTGAGCTAGGTTTTTAAAACCATATTTTAAGTCAAAGTTGTTAAGTTTAAATCAAAGTCCTGTTCTGCAAATCCTAATTAAATATATACGGAGACGACCTTTGCCTCAGTCCTGGCTTGACACAAATCAAGTAAGAAGAAAAGTGGCTGTTTTATTTAGCAGGTCAGTGCCAGAGTATCAGATATCAGAGAATTACACATAAAACAGGCAGCTCAGTATTGGTTATCTTAAATTAACTTAAATCTGGTTAAATCAACTAATCTTACCAAGGCTGAGAAAACGAATCCCACCAAACAGAGCAGTACAATCGCTCTCATCTTGTCCATGAATTAATTTCCTATGTGCTCTGCTCATACACCTGTTTTATAGCATTCATGTTAGTAGGTGGAGGCTGCAGAAGTTCACGTTTGGCTTAATATTAAAGTCCAACTTAGTACATCTGTTGACAAATGTGAATTTTTTGTGCCCACAAATTTGCCAACTGTTCAAGGTTCAAGAGGTGGGGCGGGAAGAGCTGAGGTCACGTAACACAGCTTAAAACACATGTAACCCTAATCTGTAACCAAAGTGTGTAAACACAACAGTGTACTTTGGTTTGTTTTGATGCCTTTGGAAGAGGATTATGGTCACAGTAACAAAAAAAAAAACAACAAAAACTTGAGTTCTGACTTTTGTCACAGGTATCATTATTATTGATTTAACTCTAAGGCGCTATTCCTAATATTTGGAAGTATTTGATGTTCCCATGATCTGCCATTACTGTAAAAAAAAACAAAAAAAAAACAACAAAAGGTCCTTATAGAGTCAGTGAAGATACTGTCACTCTCCTTCTTCATCCACTCTGATAGCAGCTGTGCCAGATGTGACAAACAAGAGACACACTTATGGACTGTCCATTTTCTCCACTGAAAAGTTATTTTAACTCTGAGGAGGAAGAAGGAGCATGTGATGAGAAGACGCTGACAGAGACAGAACTCAACACTTTTTCAGTAGATTATCTTTTGTTTAGCTTATTGAGTCTCGTAAATCTTTTCAAAACACCCGCACCTATTATTTTCAATGGAAGCCTACACACTGGTGGTGGGCTGGATGAACTGTCGCTGCGTCAGGATACGCCGTTGTCCTATTTACCCAGTGCAAGCATTAAGCATTAAATACTGAGATACTCACCCATTTCAGTAATGACACACTAAATTCAACATCATCAAATGAGACATTGAGAAATATTTAAGGGCACTGTCTGTGTGTGTTGTTCATGGGTTTTGTACCTGGGTGTCCTCTTCACTATCAGGTTGCGGTGGGAACCCATGAATATTATCGATTGCAATCCTGGTACCAGTCCACTGTAGGGGAAGAACATCAGGAACCATTATACTTTTGTTCTGATGCTTCCCCAGAAAACAGTTAATTATTAATTTACACTATTGTCCTCCTGCTTCCCTGGTGCACGTCAAAAGAATTAAATACTGAAATATTCACCCATGTCACTGGTGACACACTGAATTCAACAACATCAAATGAGACATTGAGAAATATTTAAGGGCACTGTCTCGGTGTGTTGTTCATGGGTTTGTACCTGGGTGTCCGCTTCACTAGCAGGTTGTGGTGGGAACCCATGAATATTATCGATTGCATTCCTGGTACCATTCCACTGTAGGGGAAGAACATCAGGAACCGTTATACTTTACTTCTCTTGCTTCCCCAGAAAACTCAATCATATGTTAATTATTAATTTACGCTGAGAGTTACTTACTTTTACTGCCTCATATTCTGTGTGGTTCATTTGTGCCTGAAATAAAAAAGGCATTGGACTTTAATAAGAAAATATGCACTTATTTACCCTAATCCAGTGACATAACTGTGCGCGTGTGTTTGCACTGCTGTCGACTTTGGACTTCAAACAAAGCAGCAAAAAAAAATTGCCCAGAATTTCCAGCAAAGTGAAAAACTTTCTAGGGCTTCAAATTCTTAACAATTAAAAACATTAATAAAAATAAAAAAATGCACATTTAGTCCTGTTTCTCTGTGCACACCAGAAACAATGGATCAAAAACTCTGTGAAAGAGCCAAAAAATATTACATGAACAGCAGTCCTAAAATATTTAATATGCAGTACTTCCTGCCCCAAGAGGACCTGAACAATGTCGGGTAGATGGAACCAGAATACATCATTTTGTAGTAGCAGAATAAAGGATAGAAGTTAAAGAATAAGACATCAGAGATCAATAACAGCAGAATCTTCGGTCTGTGTTTGCAAAAAAATAATAAACCTGTTACATTAAAATGACACAATACAAGATGCATCATAAAATCAGTGTAAAGAATGAATGTTTTTCAACTTCTGAGTTGTCAAAGTGAAAAATAAAAGGGCTGAAATGTGCAATTCAGTTGCTGTAAAGCACTTTGCTGTGTTGTGTGTAAAGTGTTATATAAATAAAATTGAACTGAAATCAAATTTCATGTCACTATCAAAAACAGGTGACCTTACCAAAAATGGACACGGGTGAAATGAGACTTTCCACTCACCGTGGATGAGTTGGTTGTGGTGTTAAACCCGGCTGGATTTGTCATTGGGTTACGACTCCCAGGGTCCCACTGAAATTATTTAACCAATGTTATAATAGTGTTTCTTTATTATACTTTTGCTAATTTGCTTGTCACATCCTGCAGAGGATGCTGACATTGGGTTTCAAATAAACCAATTAATCAGTCAATACATAAGCACTTTCAAAGACAAAGCAGCAACACACATTCATGTGGGCTTCTTCTGATTTATCGATTACTGAACGAAATATAAAAATGGTCTTCTAGTTTAGCGCAGTAACAAAAATGAAAACTATGGATAAGTTGTAATAAGCAGAATTTTATATGCAGTACCCAAATTATGAAATTTGAATTTATAGCATTGAACTACTTTAGCCATATTTCTTTAAAGTGGTGCAATTTCAAACGTGCAGCACTCCCCCCCCCCCGCTAATATTTTTTGTTTCTTTTAAAAAATGTACCAAATAAAGCTTTTGAAAAAATTGGAGGCACTCCAGAGAGTCATATTTTTTAAAATTATTATTTTTATGACACTCTGGAGTACCTCCGATTTTTTCAAACAGTTTTTGACTAGAAGAGTCCAGAAACTAAAGAGCAGCAGAGATATAATTTTATATTTTTCCACACCTGAGCAGCACTCTATACAAGTGTCTTTTGATTTGTTGTTTTCTTCATTGCAGTACAGTTTGAAATCTTACCATAGGTTTTGCTGCTGTTGTGACAATAAATGGAATCAAACAGATCAGTATGAGCCCTCTCATCTTGGAGATGTATTATCCTTCTATCTGCACATATGAATGCGTTTTAGCATTTCAGTTTGATGACTCATTGGTTTAAATGTCAAAGTTCAACTTTTTTTTAAAATCTTTTTTTGTTGACTTTATTAAACTCCTCCTACAAGGACACTGACATGTGCATCTATTGCCTGATCTTACCAGTTTTTCAACTAACAGCTAATGGTTTTGATAGGAAGCCTTAAATTACAGCATAACTCATCCCAACCTTTTGATGGACTCAGACATAAATTTAAGTATCAAATTAAACAGTTCCAAGCAGGTGAAGAACATTAAGCACCGTCCGTACTTTCTTCAGTCTTGCCTTGACCAGCGGGTCAGGAAACATTGTATTTAATGTAACTTGTCAAAACAAGTTATAGAGTGTTTATCAAAAAGAAAATGTGGAAAGGGCAGAGAAAACAGACAAATACAGTGACTTATGAAAGTATCTTTCACTTTTGCACAGTTATATTGTTTCACTTTTGATTTAAAGAGAAATTTGCCATTTTTTTCCTCACCAGTCTACAGTAACAGTAGATTACTTCTGATGCACTGGTATGTAGTGTTATAGCTGAACTCCGTTTTAGTCAAGAAAAACAGCTGTTTTCAGCTCAGTGATAAAGCATCTCCAAGCTAATCCAAGGGTTTTTTAATTTAGATTACCAATGTTTTGTTCAGGCTAATAGACAACTTTAATCTCTGCATGTTCATACTAGTTAAAAAATAAGAAGGCCCATACTTAAATCCCCTCATAAAATTATATATATTTTTAGATAATTTTACTAATCAGCTGTTTTTTGTAGCCTGTTACTTTTTGCTTTATTTACCTTCTAGACTTGTACGCTATTTTTTAAATTGCGCTGTTTCAATAACTAATGGACTAATTCATAAAGTGTGTGATAATGACCTCTTTATCGATTCGTTCCAAGCTTCAGCTTCCTGGAGATGATACCGGGCACGGGCGCGCTCTTGCAACATGCTACGCGCGCGGTCGTTGCCGTTGCCATGGCGCTGACTAGAAACCAGAGACCGGCAACCCGACAGGAGCCGGTAGACTGAACATTGATTAGCCTACGTGTTTTCATCGGGTGGATTTAGTCGTCGAGCGGTCAGACACGGGTCGTGAGTTACTTCTACCTGCTCTGCTGTCGCTGCCGTTCGGATAGAGGCAGGATGAAGCCTCACAGCGGTAAGGTCGACGTGTTTGTCCGGATTAGACCAACCGCAAAGTTCTCTCGAGGTCTCATTGAGTGTCTTCCCGATGGACAGGTGAATCTAAGATTAATTTCAAACGACCTGGGAAAGTAGCCCTACTGAAAGTGAACTACTCGATGTTGAGTTAACCAAAACTCCGGTTAAGTTAAAAAGTTAGTAGGTTTAGCTAAGAGTGCGTTCAGCAGTCAAGTGGTTAACTGGTTGAGTTTGGCTGAAAAAGGAACTTTTTGAGGTATAATTGTTCATACTCTGTTTACTTAGGACACTATAGCTCAGGTTTATACGTGACCTATACTTCTTAGCTTAGATGGTTTACCTGTGAATCACCAAAACCATGTTTACTGTCACAGTGGGATCTTGTTTGTCTGGGTCAGGCTGAGGTTTAAAGGTGTGAAGAAACACAGGTCTCCCTGTTCATTGACCTTTTTCAGGGCACACATTTTGACTTGTCATAGCAAAGAAAAAGTTCAGGTGCATTGTTACTTTGATCTTGGCAGTCCATGTTTTTTTTTCCCATTTTGATTGGGTTTTTACTTGGGCAAATTGTCATGTCCACAAATATTTTGGACATTTTATAACCAAATGATTAATGCATTTGTTTTTTGCTTGAAAGCAATTCATATGTTTGTCTTTGCTTTCAGACAGTGAACATTTATAACAGAAAAGACTCCAGGAAGCTCCAAGACTCCAAGAAAGGGCAGCTGAGCTTCTGGTCATTCAGGCTGGAAGGCGTCCTGAAGGATGTGTCCCAGGAGGAGGTGTATGCCCGAGTGTGTCAGCGGGTGTTACAGGGGGCACTGGAAGGCTATAATGGTAAACAGATTTAACAGTGTGTAGTGTAGGCATGCCCAACGTAATGTCAACACTGTCATTTTGTTGTTTTTCCATGTTGCTGTGACACTGGAACAGTCAGTAAAAGGCCCTTAATTCCCTTGATTATACTGATGAAAGTGGAAGAGGTTTTCCTGATGTATCTGACTTCAAAGAAATAAGTTAATGGTCTTGTTTATAGTCTTCTGTTGTGATTCTGCCAGGTACTGTTTTGTGCTTCGGGCAGACAGGTGCAGGAAAAACTTACACCATGACAGGATCCACAGAATCATACCAGTACAGAGGAATCATTCCTCGGGCTCTTCAGGAGGTATCTCACGTTGTGAAACTGCCTGACTACTTCACTTAAATATACCGTATATGATTTTTTTTAAATCTCTAACATGGTATTCAGGTGTTTAGGGAAGTGGACAAGAGGACGGAGCATTCCTTGTCAGTGCTGCTGTCCTACCTGGAGATCTACAATGAGACCCTGGTGGATCTTCTGTCGCCACAGCAGGGCTCAACTCACAGGTCTCGGGGTATGGCAGTGGTCGAAGAGGCGGGGAGGGGGATGTTCGTCAGAGGTCTGTCTCTTCACCCAGTTCGCAGCGAGGAGGAGGCACTCAACCTGATGTTTCAGGTGGGTCACTACTCGGCTTCTACAGTTGTAAAAATATCATTTTTTAGTGCCTAATATATAAATATTTGGTCATTATTAAAATGTATTCGAACAAGCACCAAATGAATCAAAGCTAAATCTTCTTACATTTTCTCTGTTGTTCCCATTGAGGGCTCCATGCCCATGAGGCAGATCATTCTTCAGGTGGTTTTGTCTCACCTGGAAAATAAGAAAGTACCTCCAGAAATTTGAGAAGGGGACATACATTTTTATTTACAATTTAAAAATCTGTTTTTTCATGCTGTTGTTTAATGGTTCTTTTGATCAGTTTAATTGTTTTAATCATAAAATAGCCTGCAGTTTATCTTCTTTTTAACTCTGGTTTTTATTTTGTTTCCTAATCGGCATCGGTTGACTGGGCTGGGAGCTCTGTTATTTCTATGATTTTATGAAGAAATTAATGCAAAGCTGCGCTTTCTCTCTTGACTCAGGGTGAGATGAGTCGCATTATTGGATCTCATGCCCTCAACAGAAACTCCTCCAGGTCCCACTGCATCTTCACTATGCATATAGAGGTATGAGGCCAGTTACTGTACCTTCATGGTTTACTCTGTTTACAGTGGTTTTGATGCTCAAACAGGCTCAAGTTTCTGTGTTTCCATAGTTAGGGACACAATAGGAAAACGCGTCTGTTTTAATTGCAGTCTCGCTCACGGAGTTTGTCTGATGCCACGTACATCACCTCCAAGCTGAATCTGGTTGATTTGGCTGGGTCTGAGAGACTGGGAAAAACTGGGGTGAGTATGACGACATCTGAATCACTCACAAAACATTTCAGGTCTATTCTAGTCACCCAATCCATTTCAAATTTGCCCAGTTATTTTGTTATAAGGTCTTTTCTCTCATCTGGACACAGTGAAAGAACATGCCTTTTTTATATAATTTGTCATGTAATGTTACCATTTTCACAATTAATCTCGCCTTCCCATTCATCCAGTCAGGGCGGCAGATGTTAACGGAAGCCACATACATCAACAAGTCCTTGTCCTTCCTGGAACAGGTCATTGTGGCTCTGGCCGACTGTCACAGAGACCACGTTCCCTACAGACAGTCTAAACTCACTCATGTCCTTAAAGACTCACTAGGTGAGAATGCTAGGTCTTCAGCTTTTAACATCACTGATATCTGATATTTGTAGTTCATGTGCTGCTTTGCTGTGTAGTAAGATGATGTATTGTGCCTGTAGGAGGGAACTGTAACACTGTGCTAGTGGCCAACATCTACGGCGAGGCTGCACAGATAGAAGAAACGGTAAGAAGTGGAACATATGATATTAACTAAAAGCAGTTTCTTTTTACTTTACATGGTGTCGATTTGTTCCGCGTGTTAATTAATGTTCTTTGCAGCTCTCTACTCTGCGTTTTGCCTCCAGAATGAAGTGTGTCAGGACTGACCCTACAATTAATGAACATACAGATCCAGCTGTGAGTTCACATAATATCACATACCCTGTGAGTTTGTTTTAGAGTCGCAGTAGACCGTTTGGCAGTTGAAGTGCTACTCTACAGTAGGTAGAGTAGCTTTAAAGCACACTTGATTCAGACTTGTTTTGTGAGTCTGTCAGATAACGGAGTCGTCACATTACATTTCTGTTGTGATTAGCTAAAAAAAACAGCAGGAGATACAGATGCTTAAAGAGGAACTGTCCATGTACAAAACACCGGTAAGCAGAGCCAGCAGGAACATTATGAGATAGTGCAAACTGTATGGTTTTAGATTAAAGCTACAGTATGTAATGTAAGGTAGCACTAGCATGAAACTCCAGACCAATCCACTGTGCTCCGCCCAGCACTCTGTCTCCCTGCTCCACTATGCTGTGCCACGCTCTGCCCAGCTCTTCAGATATTTGTCATTATGAAATTGCAAGAAATGAGAATGAAACAAAACTTACTGATCAAGCAGAAATAATTGAAAATTCATGATTGGTTAGAGGTCAGTCCTGCTCAAAACCTTTTAGAAGCTCTGCATTACTGTTCAATGAGTCTGGGTCACAGGAAGTTTCACATTAAGACAAGTTTTGGAGCATATTTTTATGTTTGGAAAAAATTGGTGCATACTGTAGCTTTAACGTATTGTTCTGGTTTACTGTTAAAACTTAAATGCATTCAAGGTGTTGCTCATCTTCCATTGTTCAGTAGTGTTATGTGTAAATTCTGAAGCTTCCATTTCATAATTTTTGTTAAAAAAAAGCTATACATCTACTTGTTTTAAAATGTGTAATTCACCTGATATGTTTGAGTTCAAGACACTGTGCTTTATGCTCCAGCACCACTTTATGTGCATACTGTGCACATCATGCTGCCATCTGTAGACTCTGTTAATGTGTAGACATTGTGAGCACGCTCGTTAGTCATGGAGATCATGATGAGACATACAGTGGGTACGGAAAGTATTCAGCCCCCCTTAAATTTTTCACTCTTTGTTATATTGCAGCCATATGCTAAAATCATTTAAGTTCATTTTTTTCCTTATTAATGTACACACAGCACCCCATATTGACAGAAAAACACAGAATGTTTGACATTTTTGCAGATTTATTAAAAAAGAAAAACTGAAACATCACATGGTCATAAGTATTCAGACCCTTTGCTGTGACACTCTTATATTTAACTTAGGTGCTGTCCATTTCGTCTGATCGTCTCTGAGATGGTTCTACACCTTCATTTGAGTCCAGCTGTGTTTGATTATACTGATTGGACGTGATTAGGAAAGCCACACACCTGTCTATATAAGACCCTACAGCTCACAGTGCATGTCAGAGCAAATGAGAATCATGAGGTCAAAGGAACTGCCTGAAGAGCTCAGAGACAGAATTGTGGCAAGGCACGGATCTGGCCAAGGTTACAAAAAAAATTTCTGCTGCACTTGATGACTGTGGCTGAGCTCCAGAGATGCAGTCGGGAGATGGGAGAAAGTTGTAGAAAGTCAACCATCACTGCATCCTTCCACCAGTCGGGGATTTATGGCAGAGTGGCCTGATGGAAGCCTCTCCTCAGTGCAAGACACATGAAAGCCTGCATGGAGTTTGCTAAAAAACACCTGAAGGACTCCAAGATGGTGAGAAATAAGATTCTCTGGTCTGATGAGACCAAGATAGAACTTTTTGGCTTTAATTCTAAGCGGTATGTATCACCTGTCCAATACGGTCCCAACAGTGAAGCATGGTGGTGGCAGCATCATGCTATGGGGGTGTTTTTCAGCTGCAGGGACAGGACGACTGGTTGCAATCGAGGGAAGGATGAATGTGGCCAAGTACAGGGATATCCTGGACGAACACCTTCTCCAGAGTGCTCAGGACCTCAGACTGGGCCGAAGGTTCACCTTCCAACATGACGATGACCCTAAGCACACAGCTAAAATAACGAAGGAGTGGCTTCACAACAACTCCGTGACTGTTCTTGAATGGCCCCGCCAGAGCCCTGACTTAAACCCAATTGAGCATCTCTGGAGAGACCTGAAAATGGCTGCTCACCAACGTTTACCATCCAACCTGACAGAACTGGAGAGGATCTGCAAGGAGGAATGGCAGAGGATCCCCAAATGCAGGTGTGAAAAACTTGTTGCATCATTCCCAAAAAGACTCATGGCTGTATTAGCTCAAAAGGGTGCTTCTACTAAATACTGAGCAAAGGGTCTGAATACTTATGACCATGTGATATTTCAGTTTTTCTTTTTTAATAAATCTGCGAAAATGTCAAATTCTGTGTTTTTCTGTCAATATGGGGTGCTGTGTGTACATTAATGAGGAAAAAAATGAACTTAAATGATTTTAGCATATGGCTGCAATATAACAAAGAGTGAAAAATTTAAGGGGGTCTGAATACTTTCCGTACCCACTGTACGTCCATCCAAGTGCCTCCTGTTATACATTAGAAGCAGAAAGACATTTCAGCTAGTCCATATCAGAGTTTAAATGTTTATCATTCCTCTTTCACCGTGGGGGAGAATGAGTTGTTACCTGGAGCCCAGCTGGCCGAGATCGACAGTCAGGTTCAGAGGTTTCTGGACGGAAGCCTGAAGGAAATCACTGTAAGAACATACCCAAGACCACAGCTTTGCTTTCTCTGAAACACCAGATTTTTCCTTGGAGTTGTTCCTTTGAAGGCTTTAAATGTCTCTCTGCTTAATGTGTGAATACAGGTCACAAGTATCAGGCAGGCCCAAGCACTGTTTGCCCAAATCAAACTGGCTGTGCAGTGAGTATCATCTTGAAATCTCCAGTACCTATAGCATCTATTCAAACAAATTTGGGAACAAGGTTTTATTTGTTAGCGGTGAGTAACGGAGCATGTTTCTGTATGTATATGCGTAGGGAACAGAAGCAGAAGGTGATGGCTCAGCTCTGCCACAAGTGCAGCTTGGCTGAGAAAAATCAAAATGGAAACATTGGCGCTATCAAGGTCATGGTTAGGGGCACCTTAAATTAACCATTGCAACTCTTATTTGTCTGTTGTACCTGTTTAGTGAACAGTTCACTGTGACTGAGCTTTTGACTGGATGTTGCATTGTGAATTCTTTAGGAGCAGGATACCAGAGGCGGGAGCGACGATGTGGAGGCTGGCAGTACTGGGACATCTGCCCAGTCGCCGAAGCAGACACGGGACCCGAGTTCCACCACATCGAAAACCGTGAAGTTGAGGGACAAACAGAGGCGAGTAACACCTTAGACTGAAACCAGTATATTGTGGTGATATTCAGTCTTTTTAGATGTGACAGTTTTGCAAACAAGGCACATATTTTTTATTTTCCATTTAAATTTGTTTGGAGGGCAGCACGGTGGCACAGTGGTTAGCGCCGTTGCCTCACAGCGAGAAGGTTCCAGGTTCGGGCCCCACCTGGGACCTTTCTGTGTGGAGTCTGCATGTTCTCCCCGTGCTTGCGTGGGTTCTCTCCGGGTACTCCGGCTTCCTCCCACAGTCCAAAGACATGCAGCTTAGGTTGATTGGTGTCTCTAAATTGCCCATAGGAGTGCATGTGCGTGTGTGTGGTTGTTTGTCTATGTGTTAGCCCTGCGATGGATTGGCGACCTGTCCAGGGTGTACCACGCCTTCGCCCGATTGCCGGCCGGGATTGGCTATGTTTACTACCATATATATCCTCTAGAGTCCTGAGCTTTGGAAACCCAAGCTGTGCGGTCCTCATATGAGGACGCAGGGACTCTAGAGGTTAAGGTAGTAAACATTAGCTCCACCTTTGTGTGTGTGTATACTGTACAGCTGTACAGTATATGTATGTACAGCTGGAGATCAATAATGTCTTGTGATTATACTGTAATTTTTGTTTTAATCTGGTCCTGAAAAGTAACTTAAGTTATAAAATAAATCTAGGGCAGTAAGAAGTACAATAAGTACAAGATCCAACTCAACAGTATCAAAGTTCTCTAGACACAGTTATTTATACACCCACTGGTGCATTTATTGTGTTGGTAGCTAAATTGTGCCAGTTTGCCAAAACCTTAACGAATATCAGCTTTTTTAAAATGTTTTGCTTATTGTGATTTTCCAGCCAAAGGAAGAGACAGGGGGGAGGGAGTCCTGCTTCCAGGAAGCGATCAGAGAGTGCATCCAAATCAAAGCTGAACTCTGCCCAGATGCCTGAGAGGGAACAGGAGTCCCAAAAGCCAGACACAGAGTCCTTGGACTCACAGCCACCTGAAAACAAATCCTTTCCCCCTGGGGTTGTGTATGATATCAATATAATCCTATCAATTAAATATTCAGCTCAGATTCTGTACAGAGTTGTTGTACACTTCCCACTCTGTTTTCTGTGTGCACCCAGTTCTCTTCCTCCCAAAGCAGAGGCATTTGAGGATTTTAAAGCAGGACAAGGCCATATGATCACCTGCATCCTTAAGGACAACAAGGCTGTGCTGCTGGAACGCCGTGGTCTCCTTCGACAGCTTACAGAGGATGTCAGTGCTGTCAAGAGAAAGATCGACTGCACAACAGCTACCATCCAGCAGCGCAAGGAAATGAGAGAAACCCAAGGTACATGTTTTAGTCGGTATGAAAGTGCAAATGCTTTGATTTGTACTGTGCTGCTTTTAATGGTCCCATGAAACTCAATCTGGAGTCCTTTCTGTTGCAACATTTTATATTCCATAGTGTAAACAAATGGGATGTCAACTAGAGTGAGATGTAATACTGTGATGTGATGGATAATCACTGGCTGAAGATTTTAGGAGGATAAGGATAATCACCTTTATTGGCCAAGTATGTTACACACAAGGAATTTTTTTCCAGTACAGAACCGAGGCAGCCATCTGCGGCGCCAGCTCAACCGATGGCTCTAACCATTGGGGGCAGCGTATACCCAGGACTTGTTCAAAGAGTTACTGTGAAAAAGATTATTTAAAATGTGACAAAAGAAACTCGAATCAAAGGTCCTGTTCCAGGTTTTTGCCACATCTCATAGCTTTCACCGGGGAATGGATCTGACTCAGGTGTGATCACCTGACCTACACGTGGAACTTTGATGCCTTTTAAAGAGACCGAAGAGGTTAATACACTCTTTGATTTGTATGTTTTATATGAAGGTCAGTATTTGGTCATGGAAGAGGAGGAGGAGCTAGATGACACTTTGATATTGCAGCTCAGAGAGCTGAAGACCCTGTACCAGCAGAGATGTGCAGCGTTGCGTGACATCAAGGCAGAGGTCAACTACTGTCAGCACCTTGTGGATCAGTGCACAGTGCGCCTGCTCTCTGGTCAGTTCTCCAAAGCCTTACGTATACACCGCCTCTCTGATAGAGCATTAAGCTTTCACAGCGTAGGTGTTTTTGGCAGTCAGGTTTACTCTGTTATGCATTTCCCATGTGCATCCTAGAATTTGAAACCTGGTATAAGAAGACTTGCCTGTTTCCTGAGGAGGAGCTCCAGATGACTATGAGCCTTGCAAAGGTGAGTTTGTTTTACACGTGCACACATTTGAGGTACCCTGGGTAAATTACATATTTTGTAGATTTTTTACATTAAAAGCAGCAAATGAACCAGACATTAAAAAGCCTTTATTCAGATGTTAATTCACTGTTAATCTTAGGTTAATGGACAATAATTAGTAACTGTGGAATGGGTCAAGTTTTGGACACTGCCCCTTCGGTAGTTTACAGATGTTTGTCCTTTTTCTTTATTCATGAATTTTCACCCACTCTTCCTGCAGTGTTTTGTTTATGATGTACATTGTCCTCTTGTAGAATTTGGCCTATTTTCAGTTTCACTTTCTTGATTTGTTGCATGACATCTGCAGCCAAAACTTGCAGGTATTTAGTAGGATCCATTATTCCTTCTATCAGTGGCTGCCACACGAACTGTTGCCAAACGGGGTGGTTGCCCAGTACTTTGGCGCATCATGACTTATTATTTTGTTTCTTCAAGCTCATGAAATGGAAAGCAGTGAATGGACATTTGAAGAACAGTTCATTTAAATGTCCATCTATTTCTTTCACTCTAAAAATTAAACATTTTATTTATCCAAAGATTTGTATACAGTTAAATACAATTATTACTATTGAACAAACACTATCTTACAAATAGAAACAACTCTGTCATACTTGGCTTAAAAAGCTGGTTTTAACTGCAGTAGAAACCAGAGGGAGCAAATAATTTGAATAACATTTACAGACAAATGTGTTGCATGTTTTCTTGATACTCTCAGAAAGAGGATAACTGACAGGACAAGCGTATTACTGACAGTCCCACTGCTGAGTCCTTGTACAACACTTGCCACAGGACACTGAAATGGGAGCATCTTCCTTCTTCAGTGTACTCAAATGCTTATTTTGCCTAATTTGAAAGTGAAAAAATAAAAATACCGCTGCTCATGATCTTTGTGCTAGCAATTAATTACCTGGACAACCTCTTTGAGATGGGAAATTGCTATTACCAGTAAATGTAACTTAATCTTCCACTTCTGACTTCTCCTACAGTGGAACAAGGCGCTCTCCATTACTCCTATGCAGAACAGCTCATCGGCTGGGTCTGGACAGAGAAGACACTTTCCAATTCCACCTGTTACTTAACTGAGTTTTATGCACAAACTAAAGTTCATAAACTAAGACATCCACAAGTGCTAAATGTGAAGTGTAATGTGCCTTTTCAGTGTACACACAGTCCTACTAAATATGGAAAGCCAAAAATGTGAGACATTTATGCCTGTAATTGTGTTGTTACTGTGTGAAAATCTGATGCATTCCACATCAAGTACAGTACATGTAAACATACTGACAACACATTAAAAGTTCTGGAACGGCCATTCCCCATTCGTTGTAAACAAAAACTCTGTATGTTTGTCATTTTTAGGAAGATTATTTAAATGTTTTTCACCCTGTTAGTTTTTCTGTTATACAGAAAGAAAATGCAAAAACATATTTTAAAACTGTTTCTTTTTTTTTTTTTTTTTTTGCTTTTGTTGGTATAGTTCACTCCAAGTTATGACCCCCCATCTAAGGAGCCTGACTCTTCACTCTACTTTTAAAGTGAAGATTATGTATACAGCCTATGTTCCTCTGTACTGTAAAAGGTAAATAATATGTATTATATTAAAAAAAAGTTGATGTGGCTGGTAGACATGTCATCATACTTAACTAAACCATATCTCAAACATTAGGGTGACCTTTACTGGCAGTGAATTGTACTGGACAGAAAAAAATATTTAGATATGTATGAAAACCCAAACAACAAACATGTTAACAAATAATCTTTTTAAGATGACAGAGTTCTTGTTAAGTAGTGTTGGGGCATTGCTTCAGTTTACAGAAGTGGTTTAGCCCGACTTGTCCACAGCCAATTGGGAACAGCCTGTTCAAAAAGGTCAAGATCAACTTTTAACATTAACGTGTACTTTACGGGTTAACAATGTCAAATTTTTAAGTATTAATGACACACAATGTGCAAATACTGCCTTTTTGGCTTTCCGTACCTAATGTGTCTCATTCTTGTCTCGTGGTTTTTCCACATTTAATCTGTCAAGGACAAAAAGCACAATACAGTGAATCAGCTTCTTAAATGAAAAGTAAAATTTATTATTCCTGAACCACAAAATAGACTTCTTTGGTTGTACAAATTCACTAGTTACAGTCTTGTATGAGCTCTAACCTTTGACCCTAGGACCTCTGACCCCTTACCACCGACCTGTTTGCAAATAAAAGCCCCCAAAGCAGACTCAAAGATAAAGGAATAAACAAACTTAAAACACTGCATTAATAATGTAGTGAATCCCACCTGGGAAAAAAAGATTTACCAACTGTAAGTTAAAGATATCAGCCATTGCAAATGTTATCAAACTGAATTTCAGTCAGAGAGAGAAACATGGAAAACTATCATTAGAAGAACCTACATTAAATTAACACAAATTGCTACTATGCTGCGAGTCTGCAAAAATACCAGTCGGATACATAAATGGACAGTGTGTCAAGCAATGAGCTGAATGTCTGAATGAGATCAACATCTTCAGAGGGATTTCTAATTATTAGTGCCTCTCGTGGCTCTCCCACTAACAAACCAATATACATGCAGAGAGCACCCTGATACCAAGCCTGTTTAGACCCAGATGTGTCAGCAGTCCAGATACTCACTCGGTCTAGGTCAAGACTGGCTTGGTTTCACACCCAGAGTTTGTGTTGCTTTCAATATTTGTACATTATTCACACAATAGTAAGTGATTTTCAGTGGCATAAGATTTAAATTAATCTTAGACAGAAAAATAAAACACCTGCTACCTTCACGTCACATCTGGAATACCACCAGATAATGCAAGGATGATGCATGATTCACATTGATAAAATGTTAAACAATGCCCTAAACAGGGCAGGGCTAGTACCATTGATTAATAAATGTTAAAAATGCATGTTTGCAAACCTTGTATTCTGCCTGCTTCTGTCTCCAGTGTGGACAGAATATACATCTGGTCAGATTTTTCTAGGTTTTGCCCAGCCCCAGGCATTCTAATTTATATATTCGCCTCAACAAAACAAAGGTAAATTTCAGAAGTGTTTATAAAGCAGATTTAATGATATAAAGTGATATGCAATTCATTGCTTCAAAGCTTTGAGCTTGTGACTCAAATTGATTTTCTCTTTTCTGGTAGATAATCAGCCTCTTGAACACAAATGGGCTGGATGGGTTAAACAGTGTAAAACAGAACCGTTTCAATTGGAGTAAAACAATAAATTAGTTAAGATATACGGTCTTTAAAAGTGATTAATCAGTGGCAGTGCAATAATGATATGTACTGTTTTTCTTGACGCCCTCAATTTGTGACTGTGAAGGTAGCAGAACGTTTCCTCCTCAGTATATACACTCTTGTTCGCACAAGTCTCAAGAAACCCCTGATGTATTACAGTTTATTCACTAAAAGGTTAAAAATATCATTCAAGAAGTTAGTATAGTAATGACCCATTTCTTTTCTCTTCCAGAATATTTAAAAAAAAAACAAAAAAAAAACAACGGAGGTGCAAAAAATAAGTTTTGGTCACCTCCTGTAAAATAGTTTCTACAGGGCAAAACAAAGAGTGGTCTCTAAGCAGTAATCCTATCTAATCCTGCTGTGCTCTCCAGGGACTGTTGAGCAACCTGCCAACTCATCCACAGACTGTAAAGGCAAGAGCAGCACACTGGATGTGAGTGAGTAACAACTATTACCTTTGTATTCTCTGCAGTGGTTACATATGGGAGAGTAAACCTTGCTCTACTGATGTTGTGTGTAGTGTATAGTGAATCTGCACCTCCTGTGGATACACCCATGTGTTACCAGTCTTCCACAGTGCATGTTTGGGTTTCTGCTCTGTGTGGGGTGTTATGTGGGCACGGCAGTTTCCAGGCTGTGGCGGCCCTGCCTCAGTTTGCGCTTGTTGCTGTACAGGGCCATCTCCTCCAGGGCTGAGGCGGCAGGCAGCAGGGTGGGAACCTCGGCCTCAGGGCTTGCAGCGGACCCTAGACCAAAGCAAAACAGACAGCGAGCTGCTGTAGTCAAAACATCTTTCCACTTATTTCATCTCAAAGGCCAGCTGTGGAGAGGAAGAAAGCTCACAGAAAATATCTGTGCTGCATTGACTGACAGGAGAGTAGATGGATCCCTTAAACCTGCGAGAGAAGCCCCACATTCAGAGCAGCAGCTGGAAATAAGCAGGACACAAGAGCAGAAAACTACATGTGCAAATGTGACACCCCAATGGGCTCTGTATTCAGACAAGTCCATGCTGTTACCACTTCAACTAATTTGCAATCCCTTCATTAATATTTCTTTCTCAGTCAGTGTGTTTACATGCACTGAAGTAACCGGGCAACAGTCAGCTTCTTTGGTAACCAGATGTCATTGCCATGCATTTGCCTAACTAGGTTTCTAGTTTGGGTTAACTGGGCATTTTACATGTACAGGACAAAGACTTACTATGGCACAGATCAGGTGGTTGAAAGTAAAGACAAGTACACATAGCAACAGTTCCACCCAAAATCAGACTAATACAAATTAACCCTTTGATGGCAGTTTCCACTGCTGAACATTTGACTGTTTGTCAAATTGCAGCATTTGTGCTGTAAGAAACAACTGGGCTCTCCTGTTCCAAATATTAGGAAGCAACATCGTGCATCATTACTATCACTGAAAACAAGTGAACTGTGTGTCCTAAACAAAGTCAAGGGTAGGAGAGACGGCTCATTAGGGCTGCGCCGCCAAATAGTCGAGTCGTTAGTCAAGAGACCTGTCAGTCGACTGAGACTCTTCTAGACAGAGAAGCTTAAACTCATTGGTAAACTAGGCTACAGCCCTGTCTCAGATGAAAACGAGAGCCTTTAAGAGCATTGTTTCAATAGAGATACAAGTGTGCTGCCTGTCTTGTTATTTTGACAAATCCATATGGCAGCCCTACATTATATATTAATTTAATTATGCCACAATTTAAATCTTGCATCACAGACGGCCAAACTGAAGCTGAGGAGCAGAACCACTAGACTCACTTACAGGAAATACTATAACTACACCCTATTTAAATTACAGTATATCCAAATCTGACCATCTTGAATTGTTTCATAACAGAAAAGACCTAAACACTCACTTGTTACTAAAATGCATTCTGTGCATCATGAAGTTCTGAGAACTAATACAAGATTTGTGTAGCCAAATTTTCAGCGCTTTGAAATCTGCACAAAGATGGAAGATCCCCTGCTCCTATTCTTTTATGTGTGCCTGTTCTATAAGACTTATTAAAACTCTGCAACACTGTCTTTACAACATAGATGTTCAAAAAAGCAGGGGATCTCCTATCTTCTTCTGCCCCTTTCTCTCATGTTGCCAGCCTGCTAGTTTCAGGAGGACCCCCCCACAACCAAACACCATATAA